AGCCTGATCTGTCACTGCTCTTCCTCCTGCCACACCCATGCCCCCAACCCTGTGTGTCCCAAATCAGCTGGATTCCCTGTAGTTCCCTTAAGAACCCAGGAAGGTTGCTGGCCCTCCAGGATCAGGTGAGGTGAGATCCACCCACAGCTTGCTCCTCATCCCCAGCTCTAACGCCCCTTGAATCCATCTAGGATTTTACCCGGGCAGTCTCACCAGCTGTGGGCCTTCCCTTTTCTGGAGTCAAAACTTCTCTTCTGTGTCAGCTCCTAAGAACATTTGACAACATCTTAGAAAATTGTAAAGTACCCAAAGGTCCCCAGAGACAACCACTGTTCACATCTTGACACTTTTTATCAGAATTGTTTTTAGGGACAGTGCCTGGTTCTGTTGACCAAGCTGGAATGCAGTGGCTATTCACAGGCATGATCATAGCACACTGCAGCCTTGAGCTCCTGGGCTCAGGCGATCCTCCTGCCTCAGACCCCCAGGTAGGTGGGAATACAGGTGCACAATGTGCCTGGCTTATTAGAATTTTTTTTTTTTAATCCAAGAGAATAGAAGGGCTTTTGATGAAGAGCAGCAAGTTTGGGATGGGCCCTCTCCCAACCCCAAACTCTTACCCAAGAGTGTGTGATCTCTGCTCCTGGATGTTGTCTCCTAGCTCTAAGCTCTCAGATTGCTTGTATTAGGAAGAATGCTTTCATCAGAATGTAACAGATCACCTAAGAGTGGCTAAACAACAAGGACATTTATTGCAAGTAATGAAAAGTTCAAAAGTCAGTGGTTCTAGGTATCTGAGATCTGAGTGAGCAGAGAACCACGAGTCTCCTGGCCTTCTCCTCCTGGTCACAAGATAGCTGTCAGGGCTCCAAGCATCATATTTCCACTAAACAGCACCTAGGCAGAAAGAAAGGGGGCAGCCAAGAAACTTCTCCAAGTGCATCTCTCTTTTTCTTTTTTCTTTTCTTTTTTTTTTTTTTTGAGACACGGTCTCACTCTGCCCCCTGGGCTGGAGTAGAATGGCACGATAATAGCTCACTGAAGCTTCAACCTCCCAAGCTAAAGCAATCTCCTCACCTCAGCCTCTTGAGCAGCTGGGACCACAGGTGCACGCCACCACGCCTGGCTAACTTTTGTATTTTTGTAGAGATGGGGTTTCACAATGTTGCCCAGGCTGGTCTTGAACTCCTAGGCTCAAGCAATCCACCTGCCTCAACCTCCCAAAGTGCTGGGACTACAGGCGAGAGCCACTGTGCCTGGCCCCACGTGCATCTCTTTAATTAGGGAGGAAAGTGTTTTCCTGAAGCTGCCTGAAGATATCCCCTTACAAGTCCCAAGTCAAAACTGGGTCAGGGAGCCCTCTAGACAGCATCTGCTACACCCCATTTCTAGTTCATAAGATCCACTGATGTCCCAGTGGATTAGGCATTGGGTCACTTAGAAACTACTCCCCTCTATCCCTACTCCTCCCGTGCAGTCTTTAAGTACCTCTGCTGGCTATCTTTTTAATTTTAAGAAACTTACTTGCCCCTTCGTTCCTTATTCCACCACATGCCCACAGAAGCTCTTGCCTCCCCACTATTGTCCCTGTCAGCCTTCCTACCTTCTTCCCTTCACTGCTACCTCCCAACTTTTATATCTTTACTTTCACATTGTGACAGATGATAACGCTGACATTCCATTCTGCAACCATAATAAAATTCAGGTCAATACAAAAGTTGAATATTAATGAAAACTAGAAAGATAACATTTTCATTATTTGAGACAACTATACCATATATTTCCTTTGGGTACCTATATATGTAAGTTTTTAGAAACGTCTAGAAAAGTACACATTGAGCCCATTACTGTGGTTACCTCTGGAGAGGAGGAAGGGAATAGGGTGGCAATAGGTGGCCCAAAGGGACTCTAGCTTCATCTGCAATGTTCTCTTTTTTTAAAAAGCGGAATGTATTCATGTTTTGCTTGTGTCATTTGACTGCAATTTTCAAAAAAATTCCTATTCATTTTCAGGCAATTATGTGGGCTCCGTGTGTTTGGATGTGCTTGAGTGTTTGTGCCCAGGGAGGAGGAATATTTACTTTGTGTGTGCCTGTGAATGCAGTAGAGTGATTAGTAAGTAGATAAAAAAGAAATGTAGCAAGCAAAAGCAAAACAAAAAAGGGGGCTGGAGAGAACTAATTCACAACAATAATAAAAACTATAGGAATAAACCCATTAGGAAATGGGCAAGTTCTTTATGGGGAGAACAACAGTGCATGAGTGAAGGACATACAAGCTATTAAGAATAAATGTAGAGCTCTACTGTATTCATGAATTCAAAGGCTCGGTATTATATTGATGTCAATTTCTCCAACTTGACAAGCTGGCTTTACAATTCATGTGGAGAAGTTAGTGTGCGGTTCTAGTTAGCTAAGAGAGCTGAGTAGGAAATTAGTGTGTGGTACTAGTGAGCTAAGAGAGCTGAGAAGGAAGCACAACGAAACATGGCATTTTACTTCACAGATACCAAGAGGTGGAATAGCAAAGAAAATAGTCTTGTACTGAAAGGAATACATGGATTGTTGGGAAAAACAGGAGCTTTAGACCCACCTGACTCAGAATATGAGGGAGTTTTACTTCGGATCACAGGGGAAAGGAAGAACTAGTCAACCCCCCACACTGCGATAACTGGCTGCCCGTTTGGAGAAAGGTTAGAGCATACATCAATACGATCATCAAAATATACTCCAGATGCATTAAAGAACCAAATAAAAACAAAATTATAAAAGTATTAGAAAAGAAGAAATAATATATTTAAATATTAGTAGGGAAGGACTAAACATGGTATCCGTATAAAAAAAGATCAAAGGAAAAGATTGACAAATTGGATTATGTCAAAACTGATAACTTCTAACAAAAGATTCTACAAAGAGTTAAAGGCAATGACAAGCTGGAAGAAAATATTTGTCACATATCTACAAAAGATCAATATCCAGATTATATTAGAAAACTCCACAAGCCAGTGGGATAAAGACAACCTAATGTTTAAAATGAGAAAAAATAACAGGCAGTTCAGAAAAGAGAAAATACAAATGCTCAATATACATATGAAAATCTCACAAGCAAACAGGAAAATACAAATTTTAAAAAGGATTCAATTTTTCACCCATGAGATTGGCAAATATTTAAAACAACCGCCTATGGCTGTGGGGATTATAGCCCTCTCATACCCTCTGGCTGGAAGCTTAAATGGCACAGAAATCATGGAGGACACTGGTAGTGTCTGCTAAAACTAAAACTGTGGACATCTTGAGACCCAGCATCCCATTTCTCAATCACTCCCAGAGATATCCCACCACAGAGGAACATGCAATGTGGTTTCTGCAGCACTGCTCATGATGGAGGAAACAAAAAGAAGCAATGAAATGTCCATGGAGCTTACAGAAGATAAAATGTGGTACATTCATGGGAATGAATACAATATAGCTATTAAAGGCGAAAGCTATGTGTAGCAATAGGAGTATATTGTAAAAATGTAAGACTGAGTGAAAAAAACCTGCAGCTTATAGTAAAATCCCTATAATGTGGTATGACTCATTGAAAATACATCAGGACTGTGTGTTACTGTGGATGGTGACACATAAAACTGTGGAGGGGTTGGGAAATGAGGACTCCAGAGGGTGGTCAAAGGGGACTACAGTTATATTCATATTGTCCTACTTTTAAAAAGGAGAATGTATGCACACTTTGCTTGTTTAATTAAAGTATAATTTGAAAAGATTCTAATTTGTTTTCAGTCAATTATGCTGCTTCTGTGTGTTTGGCTGTGCTCAAATGTTTGTGCCCAGGGAGGAAGAACATTTACTTTGTGTGTCTGTGAATCAAGCACAGTGATTAGTAAACAGGTTGAAATGGGATATGAAAAAACAAGGGCCAAACAAACAAGAGCAGAGGGCAACCTACTCACAGTTAACAGCAAAACCTATAATATACCTAGGAATGAATTCAGCAAGAAATATGCCAGGCTTTAACCAGAGAAAACCATAAAACTGTCCTGAAAGATGTAAAAGATGACCTGAATTGAGAGTAGAGCAATGTGCCGTGGCAGGAAGGCTCTATATGATAAAGATGTCAGTTTTCCTTAAATTTATTCATAAACTCAGGCCAGGTGCAGTGGCTCACACCTGTAATCCCAGCACTTTGGGAGGCTGAAGCAAGTGGATCACGAGGCCAGGAGTTCAAGACCAGCATGGCCAGCATGGTGAAACCCTGTCTCTACTAAGAATACAAATATTAGCCAGGCATAGTGGCGCATGCCTGTAGTCCCAGCTACTTGGGAGGCTGAGGCAGGAGAATCGCTTGAACTAAGGAAGTGGAGGTTGCAATGAGCTAAGATCATGCCACTGCACTCCAGCCTGGGCAACAGCGCGAGACTCCATCTAAAAAAAAAAAAAAGAAGAAAAAAAAAGTTATCCATAAACTCAATGTAACCCCAATAAAATCCCAGCAGAAATTTTCCCGAAACTTGAAAGGCTTATTTTAAAATTCATTGGTAGGACTAATATGCAAGAATGACCAAGGTAATTTTGCAAAAACAACAAAGAGGGTGAGATTTGTCCTGCCAGTTAGCAAAGCATATTATCAAGCTCAGGAGCAGACAAATAGATCAGTGGACCAGAAAGGACCCTATTGGGATTTAGTATCGGACAAAGGTAGCAATTTTAAATTAGTGGGGAAATGATATAGAATTCCACAAGTAGTATTGGGACAATTATTTAACCATTGTTGGGGGGATGAGGGGGAACTAAAGTTAGATCCTAAGATTCATGCATGCATATGGAATTTATTTTTCGTATGTGGTAAAAAGGCATATATACATATATACATACACACACACATATATGTAAATGATAAATGTTAAAGAAGAAATACAGGAAAAATGCATATGACCTCAATGCAGGGAAGGCTTTCTTAAATAAAATTGCAAAAAAGACATACAATTAAATAGATCGATTTGACTGTATCAAAATTTAAGATTTCTCCAAAGACACAATACAATTAAATGACAAGAATCACAATACAGAAAATATTTGCAATACACATAAAGTATACAAAATGCATAAAGAACTTCTAAAAAATCAATAAGGAAAAGATAACATACCCTAAAAAAAAGAAATGGGCAAAAAATTTGGACAAGTAATGCCGACAAGGAAATATAAATGGATAGGAAACACACAGACTTTAGCCATCCTGGTAATTCAGAAAAATACTAACTAAAACAAGGTATTATTTTTCACCCACCAGATTGGTTAAAATGTAAAACTTGGAGATGGTCTGGAGAAATGGACACACATACTGCTGGCATGAAATTAAATCAGAAAGGCACTTTGAAGAACATTTTAGCAGTTACTATTAGAATTTAAGATGTGTAGACTCTATGACCCACCAATTCTGTTTCTAAGTATCTGCCCCAGAGAAACACTTGTACATGAGCAAAAGGGGCATATACAAGAATGCTGTTACAGGTTTGTCCTATTGAAATAAGACTGGAAGCCTTTTAATAGTCGATCAATAAGCAACAACTAAATAAATCATAGCACAATCGGTTCTGGTTGCCGGCGGCCAGCTGAAAGGGGCAGTGGAGCCAGCTGCGGCAGGTGACACGCGACACGAGGAGAGTCCTGTAAGGCTCCCTGAGCTCAGGAGCAGCACCTCCAGTGTGTACACCACCACATCTATGCAAGCAAACAAAAACAACAATAGAACACAGGACATGTTTCAATTCGCATAGGAAAACATTTTGGATCAATAGCAAATGCCTAACAGCAGCTACCTCTAAAGCGGGGAAGGGGCCTGAGGACAGGTTGGGGAGGCCAGTAGAGACTTCTTTACCCGAAATGCTCTAATTTTATTTAAAGCAAAATATATTCATGTATTACTTGTATAATTAACATTTAATTCAAAAATTCTAATTCATTTTCAGCCAATTAGCTCTGATTTACATGTGTGCTGTGTTTTCATTTGTGTGCCCAGGGACAAAGCACATTTGCTGTGTATGTGTCTGTGAATGAAGCACAGTGATTAGTAAACTGATTAAAATTTGGAAAGCAAAATGAAAAAAGGAAAAGTTTTTCCACTCACAAAAGCAACAAAATTAATAAGGTACTCAGGAATAAACCTATTAAGAACTGTGAAAAATCTTTATGACAAAAGCAACCAACCTTTATTAAAAGGCATTAAAAACAAAACAAAACAAATACAATTCTGATTAAAAGGAGATAGACACCATGTCCATAGATGGGAAGAACTGATACTCTAAAGTTGTTAATTTCCCCTTCAATGCAATTCTTCTCGGACTTCCAACAGATATTTTGTTCACAGAACTTTGACAAGCTGATGATAAAATGTACCTGAAAAAGTAAATGTGCAATATGACCAAGACAATTTTAAAAAAGAATAAGGAGCTGGGCACGGTGGCTCATGCCTGTAATCCCAGTACCTTGGGAGGCCGAGGTGGGTGGATCACTTGAGGTCAGGAGTTCAAGACTAGCCTGGCCAATATGATGAAACCCTATGTCTACCAAAAAATACAAAAATTAGCCAGGCATGGTGGCGTGTGCCTGTAGTCCCAGCTACTCATGAGGCTGAGGCAGAAGAATCACTTGAACCCGGGGGGCAGAGGTTGCAGTGAGCAGAGACTGCACCACTGTACCCCAGCCTGGGCAGCAGAGGAAGACTCTGTCTCAAAAAGAAAAAAAGGAATAAAGGCCTTGGGGGAAGGGCGGAGTGCTCATCTTATCAGGCCATAAGACACTTTATTAAGCTTTGCTCATTAATATGTACTATTAGCTCAGAAATAGACAAATAGATCAACAGAACTGGAGTCTAGACAGGGAATTGAGAGAAAAGATGGTGTTGGAACAATAAATGCTTAGCAAACTGGATACCTATTTGGAAAAAGAGCAAATTAGAGCTCTGTGTCACACCATACATGAAAATACATCTCAGATGGGTTAAAGATTTAAACATTTCAAACAACTATAGACATTTTAGATGCAAACACACAATGTATATACACTGCGGTGGGGACCTGCTTTCATCAGCACAGTGTGGCAGGGCACTTTAGCATCCGGTAGGGTTCCAGGCCGACCTCACCTCCCACCTTTGGAAAGGGCCAGCTGAGCATCTCCATCTTGACCTCACAGACTCCTCTCCCTCTTTCTCTCCAGCTCCACCTGGTCCTGGGAAGAGGGACTGCCATACCGAATGGACTGAGGTCTGAAGCCAGCTCCTGCCACTTGTGTTCTGTGTCAATAAGGCATCTCCCTCTCTGGCTTCCAGTTCCTCCTCTATGAGTAAGTAATGGGGTAACACTCCATTTCTTGTGGGGAAATGTGAAGCTCGTATGAGATGATGAATGTGAGCATGGATAAATGGCATGGAGCTTACAAGGATGAGGGGAGCAGATACCTCTACTTTGTCTTGATCCACTCCCCATAATCCCTGCTACACAAGACTTAACATCCAATTCTTCTTCCTTGCATTGTAACTTCTGGATAATTGTAGAATCTTTTTGGTCAAAAGAAGTTGGAGTGCTGACTTCTGACATTTAATTCCAAGGCAGAAAATACTGATTCGGCACCAAAGGAGCTTACTACCTGTTGCTAGGTGCCGAGAAACACACAAAATAATAAGACATAATCCCAGCCAAAAGACAGGATATAACTGGTGCTAATTAGAACTACAGTTGGTACACGGGTCAGATAAAAGCTCCCAAAAGAACATGGAGATCAAGTTACTCTCTAAAAGGTACATAATTTAATTTTGCCCCATTCAGTCAAATACACATTATTGCCTCCAAATGAATTTATCCACCTCCACAGTTGATCCCAGCCCCTTCGGGAGCTCATCTCACTAATTGTCTCCATCCCCAATCGCTCAATTACTCAGGCTCCTTATCCTCAGAATGTTCATCTGCCAGCACTGCTCTCTCCTTTAAGATTAGAAGTCCTGGATCTTGCTTCTTCTTTCCTTAATCAACTCCCACCCAAACTGCTCTGGCAGAGATTCTCAGAGGTCCCCCAATGGCCCTTTGGGGTGCCAATCAGCAGGGCCACCATGCTGCCCAATTCCAGAGGCACCATGGAAGTTGTGCAGGTGCACACTGGAGGAGCTCAGGGATCGCCCTGGTCCTCCTGACCTCTCTGCACACACCCACTTGCTGACCACTCCATCTTTCTGCTGAGACACCTCCCAGCTCTTTCTTCTCAGTGCTCTCAGAGGATTCTTCTTCTCTTTTCTAATCTCCAAATGTTGGTGCTCCTTGGGCTTGATTTCTTTGTTGGGCCTAAAAATGCCCCAGAAGCCTGTCAACATCTGGATCCATATTTCCATTTGGGAGCCCCCCAGAGCCCTGGACTGGTCTCCGCAATTTCTCACCTTGTGCTCTGGAGCTGTGCCTTCAGCCATTTCTTCCCCATCTCCATTGGGATGTCTCAGCTGTTACCACTGGACTTGGGGTCTACCTTATAGACCTGGCCCCTTTCCAGTGCTCCTCAGCTCTGAAAATGGCATTGCCATCTCACCAGTAAGGCAAACCAGAAGCTCAGGGGTCATCCTGAATGCTGCCCTCTTCCAGTCCCTCTTCATTCCATCTAGCATCAAGACTAACCAGAATATGCAGATCGTGTCCAAATCCTGTCCACTACAACAAAGCTTCCAAACTTGCCTCCCTGTCTACCCATGCTGCTGTAATGATTTCTCCACAGAACAGCCAGAGTCTCAGGCAGATTACAGCAACATACCAGGGCAGGTCACATCCCCTGCTTCCCTCGCTCTCAGGATGTTGGCAGGAGCTCAGCCCTGGTCTCCAAAGCTCTGCATAGCCAGAACCGCTTGCCTCTCTGGTCTCACCTCTCCTTCCTCCATAGTTAGGCCCTTTGCTCAGAATGCTTTCCAATTTGCTTTTTGTTAACTTTGCTCTCTCCTCCCTATCTTGGTTTGGAGGAACGCCTCTTCAGGGAAGCCTCCCAGAGTCAGATGAGGGCAGGTCCCCTGGTTGCACACCCTTCGGTACTCAGTACCTTTCCTTCAGAGTGCCTATCAGTGTTGGAAATTATACATTTACATATGTGATTATCTGACTATGTCTTTCTCCCCCACTACCATGCACGCTCCATGAGAACAGGGATTCTATTTTAATTCATTCACTCAAGTATCCACAGGGCTAGGCACACTGCTGGGCTGGGCACACAATTAGGTGCTACAAGAGAATTACATGGAATGTATCAACTTTCATATTAAACAATGGATGCTGAACACGTTGGGAGCTCAGCCTATACACCTGCTCATCTTTCCTAGCCCCAGCCTCCCAGCCCCTACCCTTCACATCTCCAAGTCTTCCTTCTGGACTCCTTCGAGGACTCTTAGTGCCAGATCCATGTCCTCTCACATCTCACCATTATTCTAGCCAAGGCCATCACTCCCTCAGCATGCTCTTAAGGCCATCAAAACTTACTAATCATGAAATCCAAAGGAAAAATTCTGTCTTATTGGAATTCTCTGCTGCATTTGACAGTGTTGATTACTTTCTCCTTGAAACTCTTCCCTACCTTGGTTGTCATGGCAACCCCCTCTCCTGGTTGTTTGTCGCATCTCTCAGGCCCTTCCTTCTCTTTCTCCTTTTTTGCCTGCCCACACCTGGCTCCTCAAATGTCACTATGACTCATGATTCTGCCCTGGGCCCTCTCCCATTTTTCTCTACACTCTCTCCCTGGTGATCTCACTTATGCTCCAGGTCCCCATTACTCTGAATGGTGACAGCCCTGGGCTAGTGCTTCCAACTGAATCTCTTCCTGAGCCCTAGACACCAGGATCCAAGTGTCTGCTGGGTCCCACTTGGCTGTGTCTGAGTCCACTATCCTGTCACTCAAACTGGCTCTCCATGCTGTGTTCCCCACCCCAGGGGCCTCCCCACCATCCACCCAGGACTCTACTCAAGATACATGGGGTTGGGCACGGTGGCTCATGCCTGTAACTGCAGCACTTTGGGAGACCAAAGTGGGAAGATTGCTTGAGCCCTGGAGATGGGAGACCAGCCTGGGCAACATGGTGAGACCCTGTCCTACAAACAAACAAAACCAAGACACATGGGAATTACCTTTGGCTTGACTTTCTCTTTCACTCTCACAGATAAGCACCCACTAATTATTTCTGGGTTTTATCTACCACAAGTTCTGATCTCTCTCCATCCCCACTGGTCTAGTTCAGGCCTTTCCCTCTCTTACCTGGAAGTCTCCTGCCTCTGAGCTGGCTACTTCTTCTAATGGATATCTGAGAGTTCTGGCTTTTTAGCAAGACTTACTCTTCCCTGAAGCCCCTTATTACTTCTTGGGAAATTTTCCATCTTATGTGGCTGTGGTGGGACCTGGGCCGTTCTCTCACATGGAAGCCATGGAGGCCCCTCCTCCAGATCCTGCCTCTTACCACCCAGGTCCTATCAGAGGGTGGCACAAGGCCCAAGCCCAGCCAACTAAACCAAGCCTCTCTCTGGACTTTGACTTCTGTCCAGATAGGGAAGAAATAGAATTCTTTGATGTCTAGGCAATACCAACAAATAGAACTACTACTGAGACCCTGAATGTCCCATTCAAGCCTGTGACCTGGGCCTCACCTACTTCATTGCTCCCTGGATGTTGTCACAAAGTCTTTTTGATACAAAGAAAAACTTTTGAATCTCCATTTCAGACACTGGATTTCAAGCAGAAAATAATTATTCTGCCCCTGCCTAGCTGGCTGCCTGTTGCTAGGTACCGAAAGGTACAAAAAAAATGAGAAAGACATAACCCCAGCCATGAGGCAGACGAAACCGTGCTAATTAGAGCTGGAGTCAGTACGCAGAGGGCAGAGAAAAGGCCTCCCAAAGAACATGGAGATCAGGTTACTTGCTAAAATGTACATAATTTACTTTTGTCCCTTTCCACCAATACGACTAATCCCTTCACCTCTACACTTAATCCCAGAGCTCCAGGGTCCCTCTCACTGCCCCGCCCTGCTCTTCCGACTGGGCTTCCACTGCTTCCTCCTTCCTGTGTCTCCTGGAAGAATCAGGTCCTTCCTGGACCCGCTGCCCGCTCCAGCTCCCCCTCCCTCCTTTCTCAGCCAGACTCAGTTCATTCCCCCCACACCAAGAGGAGCTTCTGCCTCTTGCCCCAAAGTTGCTGTGACAAAAGTCCCCAAAGGCCAGGTCTGGGAGATGCCTGAGCCTCTGCTGACCTCTGTGCATATGGCCCACCAGTGCCCACTCTGCCCTTTTGGAAACTCTCCTCTGGGTTCTAGGAACCCCATGTTTTTGGTCTTCTCCTCTGGCCCCTCCTTCTCTGTCTCATGAGAACTCTCTTCCTGTACCTATTCCTAAAATGTCACGAACTCGTTTCTGGCCTTGTCCTTCTTCTTTGAGTGCATCTCTGGTTCTTCATCTATCCCTGTTGAGATGCCCACACTTTCTTTGGTGAGCTCCCAACTGGCACATATACTTTCCTACTTGATGCCAGCTATGCACATTTTCCTTCCTTGCCCACCCTCGCCCTTTGCTCCTGCCTCTGACTCAGACAGGCGGGAGGACTCTAGGTGATAGCCTTCTGGACTGCTCCTATCACATCTATCCTTATGTCATCTCAGTCCAGAGCCAGCTCAGAAATTGTCCCCTGGCCCAAACTGTTACTCTAGCAGCTTTCCCTGAGAGGTGGCCATGCTGCCTGCTTTCCTTACCCTTTCATTTTCCTCTGTCCCGTCTCTCACAGGAAACTGCTCTTGATGAGGGTCTAGTGGCCCCTAATTACCACATCCAGTGGGCTCTCGGTCCCTGTCTAGCTGGCCTTTCTCTTTTGTCTGTTGGTGGCTCTCTTTTGAAAGTGCTCCACATCCCCAGGTTTCCATGCCAACATAGCCTGCATGTGCTTTTTCTACGTCTGACTTCTTTTTCGCCTTTGTGGGCTCCCCTCTCTCTGCCCACCCCTTAAATGGGGGCAAGGCTCTTGTTCTTGGACCCCCTCACTTTTCTCAGCTGGCGCGTTCTCCTAGAGCCAATTCACCAAAGCCCATGGCTACAAGCACCAAAGTCTCAATCCAAATCTCTTGTTTAAATCTGCTGCTGGGATCTAGACCCTCTATCTAGCTTCTTGCCGGCCACCTCCTCCTGGATGCTCACCTCTGACTCAACCTGTCCAAAACTGAGCTCAACAATTTTCTCTCAGCCCCCAAATCTGCTCTTTCTCCTGGGTGTTCTTCCTTTCACCCAGTCACTCATGACAGAAAATAGGAAAGGTATCCTTTACTCTCTTTCTTTAACACCAGCAACCAACCAGTCAGCAGATTCTCCCAATTTCACCTCCTGGATCTGACCACTTCCTCCCATCCTCTTGGCCCCTACCCTTATCCCTCCTGGACCCCACCTGGACCAAGGCAATCATCTCCTCTCTGGCCCACATGCCTCCAAATTTCTCTAAGCAACCAGAGTAATCACTCCAAAAGAGAAATCCTACCATGGCACCTGCTTGCACAAAACGCTTCAGGGGCTCCCTGTTGCAACTGAACACCCAAGTCTTGAATTAGACATACTAGCACTATGTGAGCTGGTTCTGCTTTCTCCACCCCTAGCCTCTCATTTCACACTTCAACAACCCCCAGCTGTCTATGAGTTCATCCATGATGCCTCTCACCTCTACCTCTGCCTTCTACTTGAATAACTTCTACCTATCCAGTCACCTCTTCTAGGAACCTCCTTGGATATTCCCATGAAATCTGCACCACCAACCCCAGCTGCCCATGCTCCCATGTCCCAGGCATCTCTCTGGCTTCTCCTTCCTGTGTAACATTTTAGTGTCTGTCTGTGTGTCTTTCTTAACTCTGAACTCCCAAGGGCAAGGATCATATTTATCTTTGTGTGTGTGTGTGTGTGTGTGTGTGTGTGTGTGTGTGTTATACTTTTATAGATACAGTGTCTTGCTATGTGGCCCAGGCTGGTCTTGAACTTCTGAGCTCAAGCAACCCTCCTGCCTTGGCCTCCTAAAATGCTGAGATTACAGACGTGAGCCACTGTGCCTGGCCAATATTTTAAAACGTATCATCACGCCTGACACAAAGTAGAGACTCAATAAATGTTGAGTAAAGTTACAGGCCACTTACTCTCTGAAAATTTCTCTCTTCTTCCAACTTTCCAAGAAGTGTACACCAATTCACATTCCCCCCAGTAGTGTAAAACAGTGCCTATTCCACTATCCTCATCAACATTGGGTATTCTTAAATTTTTTCCCCTAATTTGTTAGGGAAAATTTGTATTTCCTTGTTGTTTTTATTGTTGATCTTTGGTTATTAGTGAAGTTGAATGTTTTTTCAAAAAGTTTTTCAGTCAATTCCATTTCTTTTCCTGTAAACTCAATTTAGGTGACTTACACACACCTGTTTTGCTTTTACTATTGGGTTTTGGGTGTGTTTTTTTAATACATTAAGAATCTGCAACCACTCTGCTTTTTGGTTGTGATATTACTTGACTTTGAAAATATTTAGTTTTAATGGAGTCAAATTGGTTGGCCTTTGCCTTCTTGATGTCATTTTGTTGCTTTTTAGCTTAAATGGGCTCCCCATTCAGTCACTTGTTAAATATTCCTTTTCCCTCTGGTTTTTAATGGGCTCATTTTTCCTTTTGACCTTTGAAAATAATTTTTGAATTTGGGTGTGTGCTCTGAGGTGAAGTTGGAATGGACTTTTTCTCTTTTTAGTCAATCAACAGTCCATGCCTCAATTTTGGGTAACCCTTCCATTCTTGGCTCTGGCTCTGAGCTTAGCTATTCCTGGCTGATTATAGCATTTATGGTCACAGCCTTCTCAGAGCACATACCACCTGAACAGGAACTGAAAGGCTACAGGAGGGTATGATTCCAGGCACAGTGACAGTGAAACACAGGGAGGTGTTTAAGGGATGGGAGCAGAAAGCCTTTCTGGAAGCCCTGACAGAAGAGTGTGTGGAAAGAGAGATCACCTACTTTGCCAATGTGAATGGCTAAATCCAGCTGGCATCCACCTGTCCTGGAGGCTTCCAATTCTGCAAGGAAACATTATTCGGGGTCACAAGAGACAAAGTGCCCACCCCACTCCTCACCTGTGCCAACCTACCTGTATAGATTCTGCCAGCACATTTCACCATCAGCTGAAAAATCATCTCAGCCAGCTCCTCTCAAGTTAATCTTCTGGGGGCTGCAGCCATCATCACGATTCTTCCGTGCCGCAAGATGAGGACCTGACCCAGAACCTGGGGTCACCACGCCCCTTGTTCAATTACTGCTTTAGGCATGAGGGTATCTGAGGGTAATGCTAGAGCTGGAAGGGAACTGTGGAATTATCTAATCCAACTACCTCATTTCACAGATGGGGAAACCAAGGCCCAGTGAGGGGAGGTGACCCGCAGCCACCCAGCAAGTGAGTGGAAAGCATCCTTGCTGGGAGAACTCAGTGTGAGGACTTTGCCCATCGAATCTTGACCATAAAAATATTTGGACCCTGGGTTCTAAAATAATTACATGATGAACTTGTATATTGTTCAGGAAAGTGGCATGGTGTGTAAAGAAGACAGTGAAGTTAGAGGAATACAGGCCTCTTTTTGCCAGTTCTTTCTGGAAGACCTGAAGTTTGTTCCCTCCTCTAAAAAATAGGGATAGTCAAGAATCCAAGATGATAGAAGCAAACTCACCCAACAGACTGAGGGTAAGTCTAACAGGGTCCTCAAACCTCAAGACCCTAAATGGGGAATATCATGAGTGAGACCCCCCCCCAAAAAAAGAAAAAAAAACCAAAACCCTTATAAACTGTACAGAACTGTGCCCATAGGAGAGTCTGGTCGTCCTAGTACTGACCACCATGTAGGTGTCAATTCTCAACACTCCAGGCAGCCCGACTTAACGAGCCAAGGGTGGATCCTGGGCTGCTTCTATCGTCTTTTTTTTTTTTTTTTTTTTTTTTTTGAGACAGGGTCTCACTCTGTCACCGAGGCTGGAGCGCAGCAGCATGATCTCAGCTCACTGCAGCTCTGCCTCCTGGGTTTAAGCGATTCTCATGCCTCAGTCACCTGAGTAGCTGGGGTTAGAGGTGCATGCCACCACGCCCAGTTAATTTTTTGTATTTTTAGTAGAGATGGAGTTTTGCCATGTTGGTCAGGCTAGTCTCGAACTCCTGGCCTCAGGTGATCCACCCGCCTTGGCTTCCCAAAGTGCTGAGATTATAGGTGTGAGCCACCACACCCAGCCCCTTCTTCTATCATCAATAGCTTAACGCTGGTATTTTTCCTCTTTGATCTAATTTCCCATTTCAGTTATTTCACCCCAACAAATATTTATTGAGCACCTCCCAGTGATGGCTTGAGGACAGATGAGGTCACCTGCTGAGTGCTAAGCTTCCCAGGTTTGGGTGGGTGGGTCGTTGCATGCTTGCTATCCAAGGCTAAGCCCCTACCTGTCCATCTAGTGCCGTCCACTCCAGGCCACTTGGGACACAGGCCATCACTTATCCCTGTTCACTGTTGGTCTTTGTCTTCTTGATGTCATTTCATTGCTTCAGCTTGAAGGAGGTCCTCCACTCAGACACTTGTTAAACATTTTATTCCTTTCCTTCTGGTTTTTAATGAGCTTATATCTCCTATTTGGCTATTAAAAATAGCCTCTCTTCCCTGGCCCCTTCCCCCTCTGAAAAGTGTTATGTCCCAGACTTCCAGTCCTATCTGAGCACTGGGAGCCTCCCTGGTGCCTTTGCCCCAGCTCCCTAACCTCAGGCAGCCCTCCACCTCCTTCCCCTCATGACTATAGGGAAGACAAGGACAGTGGTGAAAGTGAGGCTCTGAAGGGCAACAGAATGGGACACAAATCCTAGCTTTGCCCCCATCTTGGGCAAGTGCCTTCATGTTTTGAAGCTCTGTATAGTGGGTAAAACCATGTCAACCCTAGGATGTTCTCTTAAGGTTTCAGGGAGGTACTGTTGACAAAATGCTTATCAGGGCCTGATCCAGAAAATCACAGGCCAAATATTAGCTAAATCAAAAAAGAACAGTCCAAACGGGTCACGTCCACTTATCCTTCTCTTTCCCTTTATAGTTGGAAGAGGTGATCTGTTCCTCTCATCTCCACTTCTTCCTCTTACTCTCTTCTCTTCCCATAGTGATGTGGTATCTGTCTCTATTGCTCTGCTAACCCCAAGATGGATGACAAGACCTCCTAACTGACCAACCCAACTGCCTCTTCTTGGTCGTCTTGCTGGTGTTGCTTACCACTGGGGACTTCATATTCCTTCTCAAAACCCTTCCCTCCACACCTTCTCCCTGGGCGATCTCCTGGACTCTCAAGTGAAAGGGGACATCTCTTCCGGGAGGACAGGTGGGCTCCTCTGGCTGGGCACCTGCAGAAGCAGAGCAGGAACGCCTAGGGGTAGGGAACCAGACTGTGAAATGCTCTGCTCCATTAACAGAATGCCATCCTCTAGGCAATAGGGATGGACAAAGTTAGGCCAAGAGCCACAGAACATGACCTAAGCTGGTAAAGATGGCCAATGGTGGCCATTTGGTTGATGGGTTGAAAGAGACAAGATTGAAAGCAGAGAGACATCTGGTGCAACTCTCCTGCAAGAGTGATCTGAATTAAAAGAAGGAGATGGATATAGGAAAGATCAAGGGACCGGAGAGACAGGACTAGAGGTGCAGTGGTGTCATCACGACCAGGGATCGGGAGGCCCAATCCAATCTTACTGGTTCTGGACATCACTCATACTGTACACCCAGACTGTAAGGAGGGCACAGCTGCCAGGGCTATTAGTCACAGTAGCTGTGGTGTGTGCTATGTGCCTGTGGTCCCCAGTTCCTGTCAGTACAAAATGGAACCATATGGCATTTATAAAAATGGCTCCGAGGGTAGAAATAAGAACTAGATCCTATTTGGCCAGTAAGTAAAAACAAACAAAACCAAAAGCCAACCACCAAAAAGCAGCCCCCCAAATGGCCCACCCCATCTGTGAATAGTAGTCTAAACCCCACAGGATTGCAGCTGGAGTCTGGGGGTTGGACTGAGGACAGGTTTTTCCCCAGAATAGTCTGAGGGAATAGGACCAAAGAGCTTAAATCTTGGTGATGGGCTCACATGGGTGTGCGTGGCAGTAGGGCATGGCTGCAGGAGTTCTCAGATTGTTACTCTAAAGAGGACACTCATGATCTAGGAGGGGAGGAGACGATGGAAATGGGAAAATGAGCAATGCAGAGGACCACCTAAGATGTGATCAGAGTTCAGGAATCAAGGGCAGCCTGCCCTAGCTGTGAACTCTTGGGCAAGTCGAGAAACCTCTCAGCAGAGCTTCGGTCAATTCTCTGTGAAACAGTGGTTCATGATCTGCACTCCTGCAAGCTCACCTGCCTGTTGGCCTATGGGGAGGAACTCATAAAAGCGGGAAAGCTGGGGAAGTCCCATATGCAGAGTTAGGGTATGGGAAAGGTAGAGAGAGGGAAGAAGAGGGAATCCCCTTGGCTTACAAGTGACTCAGGAGTCCACCGACATCCAGATCTTACAGGGTGTCTACCACCTGGTGGGGCTACTCCTAAACCACATGTGGGCTGTTGCCACAGTGAGGATGCCAGGCTGGGCAGTCTTTTATAAGGTTCTTCTCACATATCTTTGTTCAAAATACTAGTCTGGAGGCTGGAAGATAATCTCTGTCACTTCAGAGTTGCCAAGAGATTTGGGAGGCAAACTGAGTTCCTTTCCTTCTAGGAAAGACTGGGCCACCCAATTACTTAGAGACTCTTAGCAATTGATTGAACCACCTATCCATCTAGCCACCAGGTCAGCCAACCAGCAGGTACTATGCCAGGCCTGGTCAGGTAGGTTCTGTGCTTGGTCAAGGAACAAAGACTAAGCCCCTTATCTTCAAGGGTTGTGCAGGGCCTTGATGACCAAGCCAAAGGATTGGGCCCATAAAAAATATGGAATTACTGAAGGGCTTTGTCTGCCTTTCCTGCCTCACAGACACTTCCATGTCTTCTTTGGCTCTAAGTTAAGATCCTTGACAGTTCTGTACGCAAGAGATTTCAAGTTTATTTTTTAATGCAAAAGATCCTTTGATTAAACACTTGATTGTCTTAATACACTTTCTTTCAACCACTATCTCTAAGACTAAAATAACAAGGAGATAAATGTCACTGATGTTTCACAGAAGACAGCTTTGGAAATGTTAAAGACTTCTTGGTCCAGCCCCCTCCTTGACTTATAAATGGGGAAACAGAGGCCTAGAGAGGAGTAAAGAGAGCAAAGCCACGTGGAAAGTGGATGGGAATCAGCCCCAGGGCCTTAGCACCTGCCTCCCTGCCCCCTCCTTGGAGGTTCATCACTACCAGTGTGGGGCAGGAAGCTGTCAGAGGGTTTGGCTTTGGAAAAGGTGTTGAGCTGTCCAAGTACACGCTCCACACAAGCTGCCCAGAAAAATAGCGAGAGGCCAGAACCACCCAGATTAGTCTCTGGAGAAGAGTCATATCTGACCCTTTGGGATATTTGACAAAGCGCTCTCAAACATATGCCTCCTCTGGTTCCTCATTGGGAGGAGGATGGACAGACAGGGGTTACTCTCCAAGAGAGGGAAATGCATGGAGGGTTGCTGGGCAAGCTGGTGGCTAAGTAGGGGCTCAAACTGAGAACTTTGGTCTCCCAGAAAGCAAGCTACACTTTGGTGTTTTCCTTTTTAGGATACTGCCTTTGCAGAGAAGGTAAAAAATAATTGACTTCACACAGAGGTACTGAGATATGGTCTCCCAAATAATCTCTACCTAACACCACTAAAGCCCTAATGACATGGTATTATCTACCCACAAGAATGACTCTGTCCTCCCTCCTGCTGATCTGAGCTCCTCAAGGAGGGCATAGTCATTCTGCGCCAGCTTCTCAGAGCTTGGAAAAGAGCCTGGCAAATGCTCCTCATATGAATGAATGAGTGGGAGAGCTGGGGGATCAGATCACATCCCTAACAGGCTGGAGCTTAGTAAGGGCCAGTGGCAGGGAGCCATAAAACAGAGGAAATAACATTTATGGAGACTGTGCCTTGGGGCAGATGCTGTGGTGGTGGTGTGTTCTCTATGCGACAGGTGAGGTACAGTCACAAAGGCAGGGCATAAGGGCTGGGGCTCCCTGAAGTCTTGCATCAAGATTCTTCAGTCCTTCAAGTCTATCTCTGCCCAGCTTTTGAGCCCCTTTTCTAGTATCCCAAAGGGAGACCAAGGGCTTCTGTCTGAAGCCTTCAGTTGCTGCTTAGCTGGGTTCTCTTTTTTACCTCCAGCCTGCCTAACAATAGAAGTTTTTCTCAACATACTTCATTCTCCCCCTGAAGCCTGGCAGATCAAACTCTATTCTTCCTGGGACTTTCAGGAAGATACTGGGGAGGGAGGGTTGTTGGGCTGAGACAGGCCAAGCTCCCCAGGCAGGACCATCTTCCATCAAGGAGAGCACTTCTTCAGTCATTCCTCTTTTCCGAACAGTGGCCCTTTCACACAATTTGGTGCATTGGGGAGTGAGCTTTGCATTGGATGCTAGGAGACAGGGTTCTGGTTCTGCCCACTGAATGGACACATGTGACAGCCCTTCTCTGGCCTCCTTTCCTGCAGCTATTCAACAGGAGCTGGCTTTCCTTTTATCATCTTTCACTGCTTCCTTCTCCCCAGCCTACCCTTTCTCCTGTGTCCCTGCCTCATTCACACTCACTCCTTATGACTACTTCTCCCCATTCCCAGTGATCTAGAGAAGCCAGTAGCCTTCTCCATGCCCTGCTACTTTCACCACTCAAATGCTGTCCTGTTTCTTGCTGACAGAATCCCATCTCAAAGGCTGTTCTGACTGGGTTACTCCCCACCTCCCATCAGATCCTTGTTTGTGATGGTTCCCAGTTGGATGGAAATGAAGAGTTCTGAGGGCTGAGTTTTGAAGTCTGCCAATAGCATTTCAGCCTTAGATTCC